CGGCACCTTGGCCACTAAAGCTCATGTTTGAGAAGATGGGTGTTCAGCTGTCACTGGTAGACACTGGCCGTCTTGGTGTTGTGCCCGTCGGCCGTGGGAAGAATTAAGAGCGGATGGCACCAGCCGGGCTGGGCATGTGGGTGCACGTTACCCACCGTGGAGTCGAATTCACCGGAGTGAATGTTAACATGGCCTGTGCGCTCCTCGTCCTTTTGGGCTTAGTTTTTTTGGTGCTTTCTGTTTCCGTTCAGGAACCCTGTGTGCTACCCCTCCCCACGAAACGCTGCCACGCTGCGCTCCTTCGGCGCTTACCATTGAGCCACGGCGGGGCCAGGCCAGGCCCTGCCCAGGAACGGGAGCAGCAGGAAGCGAAGCGTGCTCTGCCTTCTTAGCTGAGTGAGGGCAGGAGGCAGTAGACAGGCAATGAGCCAGCCAGGAAACCATAGATGTGTTGGTAACACCGGGGGGGGGGGGGGGGGGGGGGGAGCAGACACCTCCGAGGGGCAGGGAGCGCTGGCGGAGGAGGGGGCATGGGAGCCCAGCGCTGGGAACCAGCCCTCCCTGCCTCAGGCCTGGAGCCCGATTATCCCTACGATTAACCTCCAAGCTGTCATCCCTTCCTTTGCTTTGAGAAGGTTTAGAAAAGGTGGACAGCTTGGAGATGGCAAGTGCCGAGGCAGAACCAGTCGTGCCAGGAGCCCAGAACACACGGGGGGTGGGGATAAAAGGGAAAGATCAGCCAAAGGACTTGTGTGCACACACATGAGCCTAACCAGTGGTCAAGGACTATAGGGGTGGGGGGATTGGACTAGGGGTTGAGGACAAATATGTGATACCTTAATCAATGAAGAAATTAAAAAAAAAAAGGCAAAATAAAAAGCCCAGAACAGCCCAGAGCCAGGAGGTGGGCGCACTCAGCACGCCGCCCCCACACAGCGTGGCCTCAGGGGTGAACCCAGGTCTGCGCTGCTGGCCCCACGGCCCAGTGTGGGCACTGGTCCCGGCAGCGCACGCACGCCCGGGAGGCTGGCCCCGGATGGGGGGAGGGGCGGGGGCATGGCCTGCCTGGAAATGGCTTGGGGTCATGGGAGAGAGCGAAGGGCGGTGAGAGGGAACAGGGCCAGGGAGGCTGGGAACGTAAACAGCAGCATATGGCCAGGAAGGAGGAGACAGGCTGGGAGCCGGGGACAGGGACGGGGGTGGGGAGCGGTGCCCAGGAGGAGACCAGCCAAGCCCGTGGCATGGGAATGCGCCCGGGGCGATGGGATTATTTTCGGAGCGTGGACAGGGTCCCCCGCGCTCAGAGCAGATGGGCGCTCAGCAGACAGCGCTCAGTCTAACCTGCCGCGCGTCTGACCACGTGGAGGAGCGCGTGCCTGTTCTGTGTGCGTCTGCCTTCGCCTCGGACCCTGGTCCCAGGACGCCGGTGTCACTCCGATCCGGAGCACTGTGGGTGCCGCAGAGAACGTCTTCGGAATCGCAGTGTCTTCACTCCCAGGTCACCCGGGCCATCGCTGCGGGCTTGTTGCTTCTGAGATTTAAAACCCCAAACCTGCAGATGCTGCTTTGAAATGTGCCTTGGGGGTGAAGGTGGTGGCAGGAGGAGCCACGTCCTGAGGAGTCCCCGCTGGGTTGGCACAGAGCACGTCAGAGCTGCCAGGTGGAGGGAGGGTCTCGGGCCGGGGGAGGAGCCTGCTCCCATCACACTCCGTGTTGTAGAAATTCGGTGCTGGGAATATGGGTGCTGTGTGAGGAAGAGCTGCCTCCCTCTGTTTTAATGAGGAACCGCTCCTGGCAAACGGCGGGCGCCCTGAGAAAGACGGGCTCTCGGCTCATCCTCTCGGAGGGCGGTGTGTGCTGGGTCAGGGCTCCTGGGTGGCAGGCGGGGGTGAGGCCTGGGCCTGTTCAGGCGCCATCCGTGAGCAGAAGCCATCACTGAGAGCAGACTGGTAACCTCGAAGAGCCGGGGCAGAGCAGGCGACTGCCCTCTGGTAACTCACGTCTCATCCGGTCTTTCTCAAAGCCCGTTAGTGTTAAAGCTCGTTCGTTGGCATTCTGCACTAGGTCTGAATTGGGAATAGCCTGATTTTTTAGTAAAAACTAGTATTAGTTCCATGTCTGTGTTTTAATAAAGTGTTTCAATAAAATGCTCGTGTTGCATAACCACCAGCAGCCCCACCCCGTCTGAGGTCAGTTCTGCACTCAGACCTCTGCCCCGGAGGCCACTCTCCCGGGAGGCAGTCTGGAGGGCCGCCTGGAGGAGCGGCCGTGCATCGTCTGTCTCATCCCCCAGCGCAGTCACGGGGCCTGCACACACAGAACAGACGCACCTCCTGCACACACAGACGCACTTCCTGCACACACAGAACACACGCACTGCACCTCCTGCACACACAGAACACACGCACCTCCTGCACACACAGAACACACGCACCGCACCTCCTGCACACACAGAACAGGCGCACCTCCTGCACACACAGAACAGACGCACCTCCTGCACACACAGAACAGGCGCATCTGCTGCACACACAGAACACACCCACCGCACCTCCTGCACACACAGAACAGGCGCACCTCCTGCACACACAGAACAGGCCCACCTCCAGCACACACAGAACAGATGCACCTCCTGCACACACAGAACAGATGCACCTCCTGCACACACAGAACAGATGCACCTCCTGCACACACAGAACACACGCACCGCACCTCCTGTACACACAGAACAGGCACACCTCCTGCACACACAGAACAGATGCACCTCCTGCACACACAGAACAGACGCACCTCCTGCACACACACAACGGACGTGCCTCCAGCACACACAGAACGGACGCGCCTCCTGCACACACAGAACAGACGCACCTCCTGCACACACAGAACAGATGCACCTCCTGCACACACAGAACACACGCACCGCACCTCCTGTACACACAGAACAGGCACACCTCTTGCACACACAGAACAGGCACACCTCCTGCACACACAGAACAGATGCACCTCCTGCACACACAGAACAGATGCACCTCCTGCACACACAGAACAGATGCACCTCCTGCACACACAGAACACACGCACCGCACCTCCTGTACACACAGAACAGGCACACCTCTTGCACACACAGAACAGGCACACCTCCTGCACACACAGAACAGACGCACCTCCTGCACACACAGAACAGACGCACCTCCTGCACACACAGAACACACGCACCGCACCTCCTGTACACACAGAACAGGCACACCTCTTGCACACACAGAACAGGCACACCTCCTGCACACACAGAACAGATGCACCTCCTGCACACACAGAACAGATGCACCTCCTGCACACACAGAACACACGCACCGCACCTCCTGTACACACAGAACAGGCACACCTCTTGCACACACAGAACAGGCACACCTCCTGCACACACAGAACAGATGCACCTCCTGCACACACAGAACAGATGCACCTCCTGCACACACAGAACACACGCACCGCACCTCCTGTACACACAGAACAGGCACACCTCCTGCACACACAGAACAGATGCACCTCCTGCACACACAGAACAGACGCACCTCCTGCACACACACAACGAACGCGCCTCCAGCACACACAGAACGGACACGCCTCCTGCACACACAGAACAGACGCACCTCCGGCCGGCAGCCCAAGTCAGCGATCGGCCTCTTCACTCCCATGGTGGAAAAGCAGGAATTACGGTCCCGTTATCCGAGTGCCGGCGGTGTGAGTGTCTTCAGGGGAAGAGAATTTAGAGAGGAGGGTGCTTTTAAGGATGGGTGGATGGATATTCATTTATTTTTAGTAAAAAACAAAAACAAATTCTTATTGCTTTTTTAGACTTAATAAGAATGCCGAACACAGTTTCATAAATCTGTAGATTTTCGTGTAAAAACCTATAAAAGTATAGTTGTTTTTTCTGTCATATATAGTCATGCTTAAAAATATTGCTTATCTCTGACTCCCATGTACAGTAAAAGGGATAAGGAGCCTTCCGGGAAACGGCGGGTTTGGGGTCCCAGGCAGGAAACGCAGTGTGAGTCTGGAACTCGGTGTGGTGCCGGGAAGCAGGGACCTTACCAAAGACTTCCAGGGCCTTGCAAACAACCGGGAGCCAGCCCGGCGCCCTCCGCACGCTGTCCACAGAGAGGGGAGCTGCCGTGGTCGGAAGCACACCAAACACCTGTCAGTCCATGCGTTCAATATTACACCCCAGCGACGAAACCCCACGTGTTACCTTTGGAAAATAGCAAGGAACCGCCTCTCTGTTTTGAAACTTGGTAAATTAAAGTGCCAGGCATCTCTCCTGCCTTTCTTACATGATGGGTACCTCAAGGGGAGCATTCTCTTTACAGGTTTATTCCAGCCAGGAGGTCAAGAATAAATAATCAACCATCACTCTGCAGTCTCTGAAGAATTGTTAGGTGCCACCAATGGCTAACCAGCCACAGGAGTCAGTCGGCCGTACTGTGCCTCCTGCGGGGGGGGGGGCTCAGACACGGCGTGATCTCGCCACCCCACCCCGCAGAGCTCCAGTCAGGTCAACCGTTAGATCCAAGAGCCTGTGTATGGAACACAAGGGTCACAACCGCATTGTAAGGCCTAAAAATGTGGAGCAACTGTACTGTACGCATGAAACTAATACAGTATTGTTCACAGACTCTGCTTAAAAGTTTTTAGGAATTAAAAAAAAAAAAAAAAAAAAACAGGGCACAGAGGAACGTGTTAAGTCACACCAATGGGATACCGTGAGCAAAATCCAGATTAGGGGAACTCTACGAGGCAACAGTTCCTTCAACAATGAAAACATTGGAGACGAAACCTATAACTAATGGGAACCCAAAGTGGCAAACATGTAGACTGGAAAGAGAAGAGAATAGGGCTTAGCCAGAGTAGGCCTTGAACGGATGGATGTCCTGCTTCTGAGTTAGTTTTTTCCTCAATAAGGCCAATAAGCATGTTGTTTGTTTGTTTGTTTGTTTGTTTTCTAGTTGGGGAATGGCGGTCAATGTGTATTCTACCTCGATAACCCAAGAGACTATGAGCAGACATGACATCATCGCCTGGGTCAATGACATAGTGTCGTTAAACTACACGAAAGTGGAGCAGCTCTGCTCAGGTAAGACCGCTTCTCCGCGTTCACCTCACCGCTCCCGGCCGTGCGGGTGCGATCTCACGAACCACAGCCGACGTCTTCGGGCAGGAGAAGCATGTCAGCGCTGACCTGTAACTAAGGGGAGCACTCGGGTCCGACTCGGGGATGTATGGAGGGCCCGGCCCTCGAGCATCGGGGAGCACAAGCCGCCTCGATGCAGCCTTGGCTGGGCCTCTGGCTCTGTGCGGCCTCTCCCCTGTCACCCCCGCCCCACCCCGCTTCTCAAGTACAGATTGGGTCTCGCAGCTCCCTCGTCCCTGACACCTTCAGGGCTCCGTGTGGCCCTTCCCATGGGGTGAGATTGAGCCCCCTCCGGCAGCAGAGAAGGTCCTTCCTGTTATGGCTGCAGCCCATCCCCTGGTTTCGCTGTGCACATCTGCCCTGCGCCGCAGCCCCCCAAACACTGTTCCCCAAGACTCTTCCCTCTGCATCCCGGGGCCCTTCCGCGCCCCGTTGCCCAGGTCTTTCCTCTCCCTGTCACGCGCATCTTAAAGTCTGCTGGTCATCGCGCCCTCCGTGGAGGGTCCCTGAGGCACGGCCTGCAGAGTAAAACGCCCGTGGCATCTCGCTGAACTTCACCTTGCCCTCGGTGAGGCCTTCTGTCTTCGTAGTGCTGCTCTTGCTGTGCATTCTGGGGCTCTCTCACATTTTATTTTTCCTTCGCTGCCCAAAAACCCACACGCCTAGAGCAGGTTCCTCCGTCACGAGCAGCCCCTTTGCCGATGGCACTCACCGCTTTGGGTTGCACTGAGTGGTATCCTGCCCACAGAGCGGGTGCGTCCATGTGGACCAGGGGGTGGGGCTGGCTGTCAGAAAAGGAGGCGCGGACAGAAGAGGGCGAGGAAAGGAGAGAGAAACCCCCAGGCCCGGTTCTTACTACGTTAAAAGGACCCACAGAGCTTCCGGTGCCGGTCAGACGGAGGTTTGGCTAGCGAATGGGAGCAAATCGGAGGGGTGTTTTCTTTTTGGATAAGTAAAGTGTTATGAGTAATAGACATAATTGCTCTGCAGACCTTTCCAATTTCTCGAGCCAGAGTCACCGGAATTGTAGGCGAAGGGCTCTGAGGCAGGGTCATAGGGTGATCGGAAAGCAGGCCCTGGCTGCTGTCCTGCGGCCGGAGGGAACCTGGGGAGACACACTGGTCGCCGCTGAGCAGAGAATTTCCGTTGGGATGGCGCATGGCTAGCAGAGGTTACTGGGTAGGTGGTTCTGAGGATAGAGTTTAGGTTGAGAGATACCTTTGTGCTCTGAAACGGGTTTTTCATGGGGGGAAAAAAAAAAAGTTTGTGTTAGGCCAGTGGTCGGCAAACTCATTAGTCAACACAGCCAAATATCAACAGTAGAACCATTGAAATTTCTTTTTGGAGCCACATTTTTTAAACTTAAACTTCTTCTAACGCCACTTCTTCAAAATAGACTCGTGGTATTTAGTAGAAGAGCCACACTCAAGGGGCCAAAGAGCCGCATGTGGCTCGCGAGCCGCAGTTTGCCCACTACTGTTTTAGGGGATAGTTTCTTCAAAGTCTATCCTTCAAAGTGTAAAAGTTATGCACGTGGGCCCTCCTGGGAGCTGCCTGAAAATGCAGATTCTTAAGCTCCTTGACCTTTCACCTTGGTATCTCGGGTGTGAAGCCCACAATCTACATCAGAACAATCCCCCACTACCACCTTCACCCCATACCCCGTCCCCATCCCTGTCCCCATGCTGTGTGCTGCCGCCAGGAGCTCCCAGTGCATTTCTGAGAAAATCCAAACCACTCAGGCTGTAGTTAAGTTATCCGGAGCCGACCTGGCCAGTGTCCTCATTCATAATTCAGCCTGTGACTTTCCTCTTGTCTTCAGCGGTGGCGTTTAGCGGGAGAGTGCTCTCTCTCCGCTTATTTATTTATTTATGAGTTTATTTCTTTATTTATGCCTCGCATTGTTCTGGAAGGCATTTAAGGCGGCCAGGACCATGCTGTTGGGATGAAAACAAAACCAAATTCTGTTGACCAAGTGATTTACCCTTGTTATACTTCCGAATAGTCACCTTTCTGGGGTAATATATTTCCCTCAACCTTTATTTTCATTCCTCTATTTTTTTTTTTAAATCTTTATTGTTGAAAGTATTACGTACGTCCTCCCTTTTCCCCACTGACCCCTTCTAGCCTGCCCCCTCCCTCCGCCCCAGGCCTCACCACCCACTGTCTGTGCCCATGGGTTATGCATGTGTGCATACGAGCTCTTTGGTTGATCTCTTCCCACCCACCCCCACCTTCCTTCTGAAGTTCCACAGGTCTGTTCCATTTAACTCCTTGCTGCTGACATGCGGTTGTATTTTAGTAGTATGCCGTGGGAAAGCTCACAAAATAGCCTCACACATTGAGACCGACGTTTTTCCTTGTTCCACGTGGTTGGTTCTCTCCTTCTCTCTTCCTGAAGATGTGGGCTCTAGCGCTGGCAGCCCCCTTGGTGGTTTCCTCTGTTTGCTTTATTTCTATTATAGTTCATTTTTTCATTTCCAGCTAAGAGATCTCCCCCAGCTAATGCTAAAACTGACTCAGCTTTTCTCCAGCTCCTGAGAAGCTGACCTAATGTGTTCACATTTGCATTCCGTTTTCTTCAGAACGTCCTGCCTTTATGATAAATAGCATCCCATATGTTTTTAACGTGAGCATTTAAAAAAACCCTTAAAAGGAAAATGGTGTGAGAAGGTAGGACACTTGGAAACACGTTGCCGTAAATTGTAAAACAAGGATGCACTCTTAGCTCCTGTTATTGTATCCCAAGGATAGACTCTTATGAAAACTTCTTTTGAACGTTAAATCTGGGCCAGATAATCAACATGTATTTGGTTTGCATTCAACTTATAAAGTCTTGTGAAAAGCAAATTTAAGCAAAAAACAAACACAAAAAACAAATAATAAGCTGTATAAATGGAGAGAGACTATTCGTGGAAATGAATACCACATGGTGAACTGCTCACCTAGAATCTGTTTTGAAAAGCAGTCATATTTTGGGGTTTCCCTGGGTGGAATGGGGGGGGGGTGGCCTAAGCCACGTAAAATATCAGATTGGCTCTGCATAAAAATATTTCATGCTTTAGTTGAATTGTTTATAAAATGTATAGGGCTTTCGGAAGAATGAGATGTTCTGCTTGACGTTAGTATCAGACCAAACCAGTTTACTGGGTATTTTGTAAAGTATTCAAGAGGGAGAAAGGGCAGCTAAAGCAGCTTTAGCAAGATAACTGTCTTTGGAGATGGTAGCAAAGGGAGGGGACACAGAAAAGAATGGGGAAGGGCCGTGTGAGGAGTGGAAGAGACATACAGTTTCCTGTTCCTTTCCACCCCTCACCCCTGCCCTAACCAGCTTCTGGTCCATGGCCGGGTCACGACCAGCGCTTGGCCAGCCGAGCACCTGACCATCGACCCCCCACTTCCACAGGCAGGTGCAGACCACCCTCCCTCTGTGCCTCCCAGTCCCGACCCTCCCCCCACAGGCCCAGCAACCAACCAACTTCCCTGTCACTGCCTGGTTAGCAGCTCAGTTACGTCCTGAGCATTTTAGTATTTTAATGTCATTTGAATTAAACCATTTTTAGATGGAAAGTTGGGGGTTTTTTTTACTATCCTAAAAAAAGGGGAGGGTGGGGAGATCAGGATTTAATTCAATTTCAACTGTGCTTCTCCTAATTGTTTCAAGCTTTGCCTTGGGTCCAATTTCTGGTCTTTTCTTATTCCAGAAAAACTTCTGAACCTGCTGATCATGCTGTGGCCATGGTAGTCACGTGGACAGTTCTGGGTCCGGGGCGGCTCTCCTGCCCAGAGGATCGGGCTCTGGGCCACAGGGCGTGCTCTGTGGCCATCGTTGATGGCGTCTGGGCTTGTTACATAGGTTGATCCCTTCCCGCATGGTGTCTGCTGTGCCTCCTTCTCTCTGTCTGCAGAGACCTGTCAGGAGGGCAGGTCGGCGATGAAATCAGCTCGGCGGCTAAATTTAGTAGCCCTTCTCTTTGGCTCTCGGGCTGAAACCAAGTAAGGCTATTTCATCAGCATCTGTAGCTCTGGAGCTTGCCTGCTTGGCTTTACAAAGTCACAGACTGTTTGCCGCAGAAAGTTAAGTCACCTGGGCTTGTGTTGCTGCTGCTGGAGACGTGATTGTATTGTGATGCAATGTCACTTGTTTGTGATGCGTTATGCAGAGAGGTTTTTGTTTGTTTTTCTTTTAAGTTTTGGGCTGATAATTTTTCTCTGATTTTAAAACAAGTTCAGTGGGTCTCAGCATACCAACGGATTGCAGAGCCAGGGGGCGAAGGGCATGGTCAGGGGGCAGGTCCCCTCAGGGTCGCTTGCTGCAGTGGCTCCATGTGTGGGCTGGTTCCAAGGAGGGTTATTTTTTTAGCAGAATGTAGAATACGGCAACTTTTCTTTCTAAAATTACTTGTTTACATATATCTTGATGCTCTGTTGCTAAAAATAAGTTGATATTTTTGTTTTTATTGGGTGGGGTTTTTTTTGGTGCTTTTTTTTTTTTTACTTGCATTTTGTAATACCATTGGGGAAAGCGTGTATGCATTCAACCTCATTGTCAAACTGCCCCTGTACGTTTTTTTACACATGTGTGGATGACCTATCTTTGTAAGCAGTCACATCTTTATTGTCCTCACTGTCGTATTCAGTTGTGATAATCAGGTCAGTCTTATTTCACAGATTTTGGCACCCTCTGTGAGCCAGGCCTTGGGGACTCAGATAGGCCAGACCGGTCCTTGTCCTCTGAGAGCTATACAGCAGGGCACTGCCGACAAAAGGCTCCAGACTGCCCTGTGGGGAGCAAACTTTGAGCTGATGGAGGAGGGCAGGGGTGGGAACCCAGGGAGCCGTGGAAAAGGCCTTCATGGGGATTCTCTGGGAGTGGCTGGGAGCTGCCTGAGGACTTAGAGTGGCCACGGGTGGGAAACACCTCGGAAACCCTCCCTCTTGAG